TGTTCGTCAGACCTCTAACCATTGACCAGCCTGGTATGAGAGACTCTGTGAGTGTCGCGGGACACTCTCCAGTATAGCTCAATTGATCGCTGAGGTGCGCAAACCGTCACACCACGGTAAGGTCCAATCTCTTCGTGACGGAGAAAGCCATATCAGCACACAACGAGTGCGACGGCGCGCGCAAATCTCTCAAACGCCAAATAGTGAAAACCCTAAAAAAAAATAGAGAACTCTGGTAGACATCGAGGGCCCGGGAGATGGAGAAGGCTTTTGCTACGGGAAAAATTCGTGCCCTATATCAACTGATACGATCGACTTGCCCTAGGAGAGCAGCGGTCATTAGAACGATAAGTGAAAAAGGTGGCTCAATGGTCCACTCACAAAAACGTCGACTGGAAAGATGAGCCAAACACTTCGAAGAAGTTTGGATGGCCTTCTGCAACCCAACCTGTATCGATAGTGTATGCGGACGAATGGAATGTGATCCTTGATGGTCCGTCGGAAGAAGAAAGAAAGTACGAAATGTCGGTGCTGAAACGCGAGAAGATACCAGGACTGGACGATCTGTATCCAATCTTCAAAGAAGGTGGAGAATCCATGGTGACCCTTCTGATAGGGCTTACTGGTGCTATATGGAACGAAGAGAAGGTATCTGCAAAATGGGGCATGTCAAAATTTATTCCTATCCCCAAAAAGGGTACGCGGACGCTGTGTGAAAACCACCGTGGTATCAGCCTGGTAGTTGTGGCGTCGAATGTCCTCTCTGGTCCTGTCCTTCGATCGTTGACAGTACATAGGGAGAGTTAGACCTGTGAAAGCCAAGCTGGGTTCCGTAAGAGGATGTCTCGATCACATCTTCACCCTCCAATAGACTCTTGAACAGCGAATCTGATCCCGACAACCGACAGTGGTTGTCTAACTGAGTGTTGGAGGTGTAAACACCTCGGACGTTGGTGGCGGAGAGATGGTGCAGTGGTTAGAGCGCCAATTCCGGAAGTTCGAACGGATTCGATTCCGACCCCTGTCTCTCGAATTCCCTGTTTAGGCTTGGGTAAACTGGCAGTAGTCCAGCCGTCGTGCTTCTCTCTGGTGACATGGCAGTTAGGCACCGAAAAGGTGCTACAGCTGAACGATGTTTTAGGTCATCCCTTGGTCCGGGGCCCCGCTCCATTTCTTCTTCCCATCATGAGGTTTTGTCCATGGTTATAAGAGACCCGAATGTTGTTATGTGGTGTTGTTCCGAACGATGATGTTTTCAAAGTCGGCCCTATGAGGCCACTTGCGCCAGCATGTTTCGCAGGTAAATATGATTGAGAAGATTGATCCCCTTCCGATTAGCTCTCCTGTTTTGCAGCATTGCAACGCCTCGCGCCGTGGATACCTGTTATATCGAATGTCGCGTTTTCCAATGGATTCCACAGTTATTAGACTTGTCTGAAGGCTGGATGATGGTAGATATTCTCTGAACTGTAGTTTGTTCCAATAGCGGAATTTGGGTCGTCCAGATTTCGAACCGATNGCCACATGTTCCAACCCCCAACCTGGAGGGCCAGGAGACTGTGTTCGTCAGACCTCTAACCATTGACCAACCTGGTATGAGAGACTCTTCAACGGACGTCAGTTTTTGAGGAGGGTTTTTCGCAGACACTGCAACTGAACTCGGTCGAAAACCTGGACGTACTCTGCAGCACTCTATCTCGCGACTGTCTGGGTTAGTAATATTCGTTCAGCTGTAGGACCGTTTAAGTGCCTAGCTATCATGTGGCTCGAAGGGAGCATGGGAGCCGAAATATCGCCAGGTTGCTCAAGCCTGGATAGAAGCAGTCGAGATGCAGCGATTGGATTCGAACCACACACCTCCATATCGATGAATTCGTGTTTTAACCACAGAGCCGTCTCGAGCTTAATACCTGGTGTTTTGTGTTGAATGCCCCTTAAAGGCTGATAGTTGATAACAGTTTTAGAGATATTGTTCTTTAACCCAAAACCAGATGTTGCTGTAGCAAAGGCCGTTGTCGGCCGCTGTAATTTTGCTTCGGAATACGAAGAGAAGGTACAATCATCCGCAAATAGCAACATGTGAATAGTGGACTTACGCATCTTTCTTTTGATCGGAAAACGTTTCGGATTGAGCCGTCCGGCCACTATTGAATGGTTACGCCACCTCCGTAATGGTGAATCGCTGCATCCATTAGTTGGCGCTCGTTTTAGTATACAACCTGATTTGCGCATCCAATGTGGGATTTACTGATACAACTTCAGTGCGCTTTTTCATGTTTAGCTCTAAAATTTCTGGTCATTTAATTCGGGCGTGGATTTATGGATGAGCTTTCAACACTGCAAGCATTCAAGTCGCTGGCTGAAGATGGTGTTGGTTACTCCACGTTGTTACAGGTGAGCACTTACCACCTTTTGTTGTGTAACAACCCTTGATATTACAGGACAGATCCTGCCTTCAAGGCCTTGTAGTCTTGCTGTCGAACCCTAATCCTGAGGTGGTCATCACAATACTTCAGGTACGTCAGGACCGTCTACTATTTATCTCGGTTTTGACAGACTTTATGTCAGCTCTGTCGGAGACCCGGTGGTCCGTCCGTACTGAAGACTCTCTTAGGCTTGTCAGACCAACTTCAAGGGCTCTTGAAAAAAGATTTCGCACAAACCACCGAAAACCAAATGCAGCTGATCATACAGTTGGCTAGGGACGTGTACAATTCTGCATTTGGTGTCAGAACCACTACTAACGTGAATTCTCCAAACAGTCGGCCAAAAAACGTTGTTCTGCGATTGTACGGAGTTCACAGCGAGGTAAGCCACTTCACAGTTTTCTTACTCATAACCATCTGGGCACTTGTATGCCTAGCCCAGAGTATTAAATCATATTATAGATAACATATCAGAGTGTACCGCCCCCGTTCTAACAAATTACTAGACTAGTACGGTATGAAGGAACTATACCACCTTAAATGTAGGATCTTTCACAGTCCTCAATGCCTGAAACACCGTTGATTGATGAAGTTTCACTTTCGGACGAAAGTGACTTCTTATCAAGCCTTTACGAATCACTTTTTAAAGTCTAAGGTACTAGATGTCCCCATGCACCCGTAGCCATTTCCAGCAGCTGTAACCAGGCGGCACCGGGAGCATTCGATATAGGTTTGGAAAGTATTGGTGAGCTATTTACTATGCAGATGTGTTGCGAAAGAAATGAGGACGTGTGTTCGCAGACCTTCTGTAAATTACGGCAAAATGCAAAACAAAATCCTGCTTCGAATATCACAAAGCTCTGTGTGGATTGGGATGTTGGGTTTTCTATAGAGGAAAGTGCTGGTAGCTCAGGTAGCGTAAATGGTGGTCGTTGGCTTGTTCGCTGAGCTGGGCAATTTGGTTGCAAACGTTTCATCACCAGTCGAGGTGGCATCATCAGGGCGTTATTGTGCGTAGTACGCTACGCACAGCATCAGAAGCTGCGCTGGTTGGGACATGTGTTGCTTATGCCTATGCCGAAGAGAGTGTTGTTTTCCACGCCCAACTCAGAGTAGCGTAAGCAGAGAGGTGACCAACCCTTGACCTAGCAGAGGGGTATGGAGGAGGTTACGAAACGTTTGGGTGCTGTCGGTGCTGCTCGCCTTCCAGGATGGGGACTGTGAGATGCCCACTGTGCCTCGTTAGAGACGCTGCAAGTTTTGGGCGCTAGTCGATGCTAATGGCGTTCTTGTTGTCAGTTACTATCCAGACTCCCTAAATGCATGTTTGGAGGTGTATGCACCTCGGAATGATTGTAGCAAGCTAGCACTAAGTCCATTCCCCGTCCACGTTTACTCTTTTTTTTACAATGAGGCTTCCAAATAAATCATGGCTGTACGGCAGTGAAGCATCGGTGTTGAACACTGATGTCATGCTATCGAAAATGTTGATCATGTCTGAATAAGTATGTGTCTTCCCACTGAAAGCTATAGGCACATGAGTAGAGGGAATAAGACCGCGTGAACGTATTCCTCGGCAGTAACGACAATAAAGTAAGGTAGTGAGAACGTGGTTGTAGGTTATTAATCGGCGAAGGGGCATCGACGAGGTCCGCAGTTTTACGTTGCATTGAACTGAGAGGGTATCGCATGTGGCAGCTGGATTCTATGCTGGAGCAAATTTGGGCATGGGGTGGAAAAGGAAAAAAAGAAAACCAATTGTCGTAGTTGGTCGGGTCGTGAGGACCCTGACATGCGAGAACCGGGATAAGTTCTCAGCGAGGAGTGTGGAATGGCAGCAGATTCCGTCAAAGTATTTTTCTCAAGAGTGGATTTGAGAAGAGTTGTGCATACATGGAGGGGCCTGGAAGAATTGCTGAATTCGACAAACCCCAATCAGCGAGACTGGTAAGTTGGTTTTCAGCACATCCCACGGTCGGAGTAGGACGAAGAGCAACGCACATTGGTATTGTCTTCAAAGGCACAGATAGGAGGGACAGTTATGGCGAAAGGGTCGTTCACATAAACGAGTAGACTAGAGCGCACATCCATATGGAATTCCATTGCTGGTTCTCTGAGTCTCTCTGATAATGCCATCCACTCTTACACGGAACGATTATGCAGGAAACGCTCATTCCAGGTGTTTAGGTCTGGATATAGTCCCCTATATGGAAGGCTGGGCAAGGAGGTCCGCATGCCTTCGGTATATCACGGCAACCAAATTAGTTACCCCAGAAGAGTCCAGAGAAGGTCAGGCGTGTGGCACATAAACCAAAGTATTATTCGTGGTTCGGTGGCACCTGAACCCATATTAGTGAGCACTAAAAAGGACGGGGGTTTTGGTCAAAATTGCTGCAGGAACTGTGGATAAAATATGGGATAATGGAGACAATCGTTCAGCTGCAACACCCGTTCTGTGCCTAACTTTCATGCCACCCGAAGGAAACACAAGGACTGGAATACTGTCAGGTTGCCCAAACCTATAATTAATGAGAGGTCGAAAGGCAGGGTTCGGGTTCGAACCACAGACCTTCCGGTCAGTAAGTCCGTTCCCTAACTACCGGACTATCTCGCTTCTAATGGAGCTAGTCCGGTAGTTGTTGGTTTCAGAGCAGAGGCCACTTTTGGGATGGTGAGGATACCTGTAGTTCTGATTTAGAGACTTGTCGAGAAATGACGGCCCTCCTATCACCACAAAGGATTCCGGTAATGTCCTAATCCTCTTTCATATGTCTTTCATTCAGTCCACTAATTTTTGTCTGAACCAGAGTGAACATATTCTGCAACAGGGAAAGCGCATTTCAGACGACTGGGGCCATTAATTTCGAAAAAAGGGCACAAGAGACGACTAGTTCAACTACAGAGATATGAGCCTTGCCCTCTCACGTAAGACAGATTCTCAAGCATCAAGAAGGATGCACATCCAACGTCTTCGAATGCTTGTTTAGCCCCATCATATCGTCAGTCAGCGATCGTCGTCGACTTCAAGGGAACCCTTGGATCCTCAGACAGTTTAGTTCCATACATACATATATATTAGCATCCTTATACGTACTAATGGGGGGCGCGATGGCACAAGTGGTTAGAGCGCGAGTTCACTGACCAAAAGGTCCGTGGTTCGAACCCGACCTCTGCGTCTCGACTTCCCCTGTCTAGGCTTGGGCGACCTGGCAGTATCCCAACCCTCGTGCTTCCTTTGGGTGGTGGCATGGCAGTTAGGCACCGAAAGG